ATGCGCGCATCGTGGCCCCGTAGGGAGCTCCACCCAAGGCCACAATGGTGCCGTTCGCTTGCGTCCCCGCATCCATTTTGGGCTCACCCCTGGCACGTTTCGTGGTCCCAAAGGCAGCTCCACCCAAGGCACCACTGGCGCTGTTCGCATGCGTCCCCGTCACCCAGCTTGGCACACCCCTCACAAGCTTCGTGGCCCCATAGGGAGCTCCACCCAAGGCCCACATGGTACTGTCCGCATGCGGCCCCGCAACCAATGTCAGAATACCCCATGCACTTTTCGTGACCCCCTAGGGAGCTCCATCCAAGACCCAACTGGCGCCGTTCGCATGCGTCCCCGGCATCCGTGTCGGCACACCCGTCACACGCCTCGTGGCCCCATAGGGTCCTCCACCCAAGGCCCAAATGGTGCCGCCCGTATGCGTTCCCGCCACCACTTTCGGCACACCCTCGCACGTTTCGTCGCCCCCAAAGAAATTACGTCGACGGCTTAAGCTGCACCCTCCGCATGCGTCCCCGCCACCCACCCATTACGACACACCCGTTAAACGTCGATTGCCCCCTTGGGGCTCCACCAAAGGATCCAGTTGCGACGGGTGCATGCGGTCCCCCACCCATGTCGACACACCCTTCACACGGTTCAAGGCCCCACAGGGAGTTCCTCCCAATGTTCCAGTGCCACCGTTCGCATGTGTCGTCCCTACCCATCCCCTCACATGTTTCCCACGGATCGTGGCTCCAAAGGCAGCTCTTCCCAAAAGCCCATATTGGGAGATCCACACAAGGCGATATCCACAATGACGGTACTACTAACTGCATGCGATTGGGTCTCTCACCGGGATACTTTTGTTTGCTCCTTTCACCAAAAAGCAATAGGTGCAAGGATGGAGGACGGTCCCTTTCCAACCTGTTGTTGTCGCCTTAGCCTCCCGCACAAACGTTTTAAAGTTCAAAGCGGCTTCTAGGACAAATGGTGGTTTGGCACGATGCCGGATCGTCAGGGCACAACAGTTAGGTTGTTCCGCGGTGTTCTGTCACAGGAGTGGTGTTCTGGCACGATTCAGGACCGTCCAGGCGCAACAGTAAGGGTAAATCGCGGCGTTGAAGTCCCAGGGACTGTGTTCTGGCACGGTACAGGATTTTCAAACGGTTGTCTTCCAGCGGGGCCATTCCTGTTGTAAAAAACAATCCTCGACTAGGGCCTAGGCAGAGGGAATTTGGAGGGAGGATTCATTGCAAGATCGTTGGGCCTTGAATTTGCACTTGTCATTATCCTCCTCATCCCTCCTCTTGTGCTCCTGATGTTCCTCCTCCTCCTCCCAAGCGAGTTTATGGACGAATTCGAAGACGAGCTCGAGCTCTCTGTCGCATCCGCCCTCGGCCTGACAGTCGAGGGGATACATTGCGGCCGCCACGCACGGGGCGTCGCTCATTGTTTCAGGCGGGAGCGGGGCTGCCTCACTGGCACTAGCTGGCTGGCTAGGTTCGCGCTGGCGGCCCGCTGTGCTAGGCGTCGGTAGCAGATCATGGGAGCCGCGCGTGCCTTCACAGTTCTGTCTTTCGAGTGCGCTGACGTCGAGAAGCGTCTGGCAAGCAATGAGATAGCGCCGATCTAGCGTCAACCCGCGCCGATTCGCATGAGCCAACAAGATGGCATGGGAGGCTTCCCTGAGTTGCCACCGAACCAGGCGCCCCCCTCCCATCGTTTAGGTGCCATCTGGGCCGCCTGGCGGCGACGTGCCGCGTGCCCCATCGAACTGCCGGCAGGCCGCGAGATGCTCGCCTGGACGGAAGGGCCCCGAGCAGAGTTGGGTTCCTCCGGGGAGGGCAGGCTCAGAAGGTGGCCTACAGTCGGGGCGCTGAAGAAGGAAGCCATTTTTCGTTGGGGAGGGGCTCCGTGGTCCCTGATTCCGTCGCAGTCTGCCTCAGGTTGTTTCGGAGGTGGATAGACCTCCTATTCTGACACGTCGATTAAGGAATTGGCCGTCTTCGCTTCGCGAGAGGGCGTCGCGGCCGTCATTTTTGCGGGTCCAGGTCCGTCGGTTTTGGTTCCAGACCGATTTCATTAAGGGGAGGTTTGCTAAAGGGAGGTTTGTCCACCGCCGGTTGGTCTTCGGCTTGCGATGCGAAATCGAAGTTCCAGCTTATGGAAGAATGGGGCCTCGTTCCTTGTTTGGGGCTCCTTGGGTCAACGCCCCGACTTGAATCCGTCACAGGGCCGAGTCTGGCTCGGGGTCCCCTTTTCTGCGGGGGATCGCAGCGGCCAGGGAAGACCATTGGAACCGCGGGGGAGCCACGGGGCCCCAAGGCCAATCACGGGGTCGTGACTTCACGACGAAGGCGCAGGGCCAACGACCATTCAAGCGATGCAAGAAAACGGGGTCGTTTGCGCCGACATTGGCGCGTAAGCTGCGCGCGCAAGGTCGCGCAAAAGCGCCCTCGTCTCCAATGTCGCGTGTCGCGCTGGCGGCCCGCGTGAGCCGCCGTGTAATGTCGCTGTGTCATCTAACCGTAGGGCCCATTTTGGTTGGTCGCTCCACTGGCTTCAGGTCCGCGGAGTGCTGTAGGGACTGGTGGGGCTCGTGGTCGTAGACGCGAGGTGGCGACGGGGACTGTGGGGCACTCTGAGCGGGACGGCGAACACGGGACACCTTGTCACATTCCCTTCCCAGAAGCAGGTGGGTATTCTGTTTCGCCGTCTTCGGCTTCCATGGCCCCACCCGGTGGGCCCCCGGGACCGTCAAATATTAGGCCCGCATGACGACATGTGATCTTGGGGAATGCCTTGGGTCCAGGACCCGTTTACCTCAGAATCCAGGTACTACATCCCAGAATCCGATTCCCAAACGCTCTCGAACATATAAGAGGCTGGCAGTGAACCATGTCGAAAAAGCAGCGACACCCTAGAGTGCGGAAGGCTCGCGATGCGTCATCGCGGTGGCGACGCTGACGCGAACGTTCAAGGTTGCAGGCAACCAGCGACCCGAGTCAAGTCAGCCTTGAATGATTTCCGCTGTTGTGAAACCGCCGCCAGAAGCGAAGCGTTCTAATGACCCAGCCCCTGAGAATTCATAAGGCTGCTGATGCCAACCAGACCAGCCAGCCAGACAAGACCAGCCAGTCATCCAGACCAGCCAGCCAAGCCCAGGCCAGACTGAGCAGATCAACGATACTCACCACGCCAACCAGACCAACACTGCGTCGCAGAAGACATGCAAAGCAAACGACGCTCCCATGCACCACGTCGAATCAGACAGATGAGCAAGACCAACAAGTCAAACCAGCTAAGTACACCTATCAGACCAAGCAGACCAGCCAGCCAGACGAGTTCGCTGAACCAGAGCATCCAGACGAACCAGCCATCCAGACAGGCCAAGCTCAGACCAGACTGCGTAGGTCAGCTAGATCAACCACATCAGCAAGACCAAATTCTCAGTACAGAAAAATTGCGATGCCACAGCCAATTGCGATGCAACACGCTTGGACAAGGCCGACCAGCAAGACCAGAAGTCAAACCAGCGAAGCAGGCCAACCAGACCAGCTAGCCATCCAGACTAGCCAAGCCTAGACCAGACTAAGCAGATCAACCAGACCAACCACATCGTCCAGACCCAAACGGCAGCGCAAAACAATATTCCACGCAACAATACTGCGACGTAGAAGCTTTGACCAGGCAGGCAAGCAACACCAGCAAGTCAAACCAGCGAAGTAGACAAACCAGGTCAACCAGACCAGCCAGCCAGACGAGCCAAACCAAGACGAGACTAATTTGACCAACCACACCAGGCAGACCAAAGCTGCACTGGAATCAGATTGCAATGCGCGAGCAATTGGTTCGAGCACCTCTCTGGACCTCAAAAACCACACTCGGCCCGCATGCTGAATCACGAGCTCAAGCCCTGGCAGCACAAAACGTTGACCCACCGAAGCAGAACGACGTCACATGGCAACCGAAACTGGCAGCGCAAGACAAACAACTGCGATGCAAACAGCACAGGTGCTGCGGTGGTCGCGGTTGGCGCTTCGCGCTTCTCGCCTCCCTGGACCTCATCCCCACACGCGCACACTGGGCTCGCGCGCGGCATCGGAAGCCTGAGCTCCAGCAGGGACGCCGCGGCACTCCCGAGGCTCCAGCTCGAGCCTCGGAAGCTCCGGGCGCCCTCTGGAGCTGTGGCGCCCGGGCGTGCGGTGGCCACCGCGCCAGAGCGGAAGCCTGCTTGCCAGCAACCGCCCCGCGAAGAGTCCTGAGCCATCCGATGGCCCCTGAGGGCCGGCCACGCGCCAAAGGGGGGCAGGGGGAGGGGGGAAGGCTGCTCAGGAGCACCCCCGCTGCTCCGGAGGTGCGGGCGTTCTGTGTAGCCGTAGGGCCAGCGCCTCTAAGAAGCAGCCTCCGTCTGAGAAGCCCCCCCCGCTCCCCCTTGCAGTCGGGGCGCTGAAAAAAGGAACCCTTTTCGTTGGGGAGGGGCTCGGTGTTCCTCGATTGCAGTTTCCCTTAGGTTTTCCATGGGAAGTCGAAGTTTCACTTAGGGGAAAAGGGGGCCTCCATTCTTACTTAGGGTTCCTCAGGTCAACGCCCCGACTGTACCCCCCTGGTGCGCGCCGCCAGGGAGGGCCCGCAGACGCCTCGCAACGCTCGGGAGGCCCCGACCTCCCACGACGCGCGCGTGCCCCACCGTCGACGGGGCAGGAGCCGGCCGCGGCCTCGTTCGAGCAGCTCGGCCACGGGAGCAGCCCCTGCTCTCACCACGCCGCCCCCGCCCCCCGCCCGAAGGCACCAGAGCGCCCCCGGATTCCGGTTGGGGCGGGGGGGCGTGCAGGTTCCGCGACGTGTTCTGGCGTGGCCCTCCCCAGCAAGTTGCCACCACCCACCAAGCCTCCCCAACCCAACCCAGAGGCTCGGATTTACCCTCGATTTCCAGTGGGGGGGGGTCGGGAAACACGAAAAAAACACATGGAACCCGCACCCCCCCCAAACCCGAAATTCGGTTCAAACTCGGGTCTTCGGTTTGGGTTGGGGTGGTCTGGTAGGTAGTCAAGTTGACGGGCTCACCACACCGCCCCCGCCCGCGACCGAAGACGCCATACCGCCCCGGGATTCCGGGTGGGGCGGGGGAGGGGGGATGCACGCGTTCCGCCGTGCTTCCTCGACGTGTTCTGGCGTGTCCCTCCCCAGCAAGTTGTTACCACCCACCACACCTCCCCAACCCAACCCGAAGGCTCAGATTTACCAGTGGGGGGGGGTCGGGGAACATTGAAAAAACACATGGAAGCCGTACCCCCCCCCAACCCGAAGTTCGGTTCAAACTCGGGTCTTCGGGTTGGGTTGGGGTGGTCTGGTAGGTAGTCAAGTTGACGGGCTCACCACGCCGCCCCCGCCCGCGACCGAAGACGCCATACCGCCCCGAGATTCCGGGTGGGTCGGGGGAGGGGGGATATACGCGCGTTCCGCCGTGCTTCCTCGACATGTTCTGGCGTGCCCCCCCACCCCCCCCCGGCACGTTGACGGGCCCAAAGGCGTCTTCGGGCTTGGGCGTGGGTGGCTTGGTAGGTGTCAAGGGAGGAAGGACCACCCGGACCCTATCACTGGCGTTTCCTAAAAACGGCCCGGGGCGTGTTTTTGAACAGCCTTGCCCTGCTCGACTCCTTCTCTTGGGTCGTTTCCTACACGGCTTCGCGCGTCGGGGTGATCACGACTGCTTTCAATGGTGGCCACACACACATCAGGAGGGAAAGAAACACACAGACACGATTAATCGTCGAGCCCCCAGAAAATATAGGAAAATATGGGAAGTGGGGGGGAAGACAAAAACCCTGAAAATACCGAAAAATATGAGAGAATCTCTGTATTTGTGTGTATTTATTTGTGTGTCCCAGGGCCCCTTCAACACAGAACCACGCCCGGCGCCGCCGCGCGGCAGGGGGACCCCACCTCGGGAGCGCCCAGCGACCGAGGAGCACCGCGTGGCGCACGGCCGCCGCGGCCCGCGGGCTCGAAAAGCGCGCCGCCGCCGCTCTCGCGCGGGGGGGGCTCCCTCGTTCGATGGCCGTTGTGGGGGCCGCACTTTAACGGGCGAAGAACGGTATGATCTAAACTTTTTCGCCGTCGGGGACGCTTGCCCCTGGGCGGCTGGAAAGTTTATACCCTTCCGGTGCCACCGTAGGGGTAACATTTTTTCCAGCCGCCCAGGGACAGGCGCCCCCAACAGCGAAAGAGTTTATCTTATACCGCTCTTCGCCCGTGAAGTCGTGGGGCCTTCCTGAGGCCCACCGAACGGATCTGTTCGACTCCAGTTCGACCCCAGTTCGACTCAAGTTCGACTCTGGTTCCACACAGGGTCGGCGCAAATCGACGGGCGTTCGACGCGGCTTCGACGCAAGAGTGGGGCGGGTGTCTCCAGGAAGGCCCCCAGGAGGAGCATCCGACCCTCGACTCCGAGGACCGGACGAACCCGACGTCTCGGAAACAAGAGAGGCGGAGGTTTTGCTTCATTTTCGGCCTCCCGGGGGGCCCTTGCCTTGCTTCGGGAGCGTGAACGAAACGATTCGCTGTGACAAACGGATCCTAGGGGGAAGTGGTCGAGAGGTCAGGGGCCCACGTCTGAAACAAAATCGAGACGCCAGATGCCTGGGAAGGTCAGCGTGGCCCAGTCCAGCCTCGCCCCCACTGGGCCACGGCAACGCCAGGCCGTCCAGATGGGGTCCGAGTGGATGCGGTCGGGGGATTGCACCCGCACCGCCGATGCATCGACGATGCGGCTCCATGTGGAACCCGATTTTCGCCACGTCGAGGTATTCCCGATGCGTCGCCTAACTCGCCGACGCATCGGCGATGAGTCGGCGATGCATCGGCGGCGCATCGGCGATGCGGCGAGATCCCCCGACCCCATCCACTCGGACCCCATTTGGGAGGCCTCTGGTGCCGCAGACCCGCCGGACCGCCCTCCCAAGTGCCCAAGTGGAGATGGGCTCCTCGAAGCCCGCAGGAGCAGGCGTACTATGTGTGCCCACCCAAGGGGGGGGGGGGGGGGAGCCAAGATGGGGTCCGACCTCCCTTCCCTTCATCCCCTTGCTCCTCCTCCTCTCCCTCCTCCTGCTCCTCCTCCTCCTCCTCCTCCTCCTCCTCCTCCTCCTCCTCCTCCCTTTCCTCCCAACGATGCTCAGAAACGAGGGGTGGGAGTAGCCACGGAGGGGGGGGGGCACGAGATCTGCTGCGTGCAGCCGGCTCCGGCGGCCCCATCTGCGCGGCGCCTCGGGCGCCCCCCGCCGGAGGCGAAGGGGCCCAAGGAGGCCGCGCGGACCTCCGGAGGCTCGTGCCTACGCCGCTGCTTCTCCTGGGGCCGTCTTGTCGCTGCTCGCTCCTGCGGCCCCCACCCTCCGCGGGGGGGGGCACTGCAGAGGGGCCCGGTCCTGGGGCTCCGCGGGCCTTCCCGGCCCGCCGTGGGGAGCTGGCTGGAGCTCTCTCGACGGAGGCCGAGGAGGCCAGGAGGCTCTCCTCTCCGAAGCCACGTGGGGCTCTCTTCCTTTGAGATCCGACGCTGCAAAAAACACACAACATCGCACATAATCACGCCTGGAGCCCCGGACCCCATCTTGCTGCGTCATCACTTTTGCGAGCCGGATCGACCTGTGAGGGTCTCAGGGGTAAGTTGGATCTTTCCTTCTACAGGAGGAACACTCAAGAATAGTGGCAAAAAATCCTTGGGACGATATTTTGGAATGCTGTAACCATCTTCGAACATGTTTTACTATTTTGCATCTTTCGCCCAAGATCCTCCTGTATGGGGACATGCCCGACCTGACCCCAGGGCCCGACATGGGGCGAATACGCCCGTGGTGAAACAAACAAATGGCAGCGCCAGGCTCTCAGGGTCGGACGGCCGAGCAGGCCCTGCCCCCGTCGGCGCCCGCCGAGGAGGCCGGCCACATGTGCCCCCGCCGCTCCCTGCCGCCGATCGCCGAATGGGATGCCTCTTCCTCCTCCTCCTCCTCCTCCTCCTCCTCCTCCTCCTTCTCCTCCTCCTCCCCCTCCGCCACCCCCTCCTCCCCCTCCTCCTCCTCCTCCTCCTCCTCCTCCTCCTCCTCCTCCTCCTCCTCCTCCTCCTCCTCCTCCTCCTCCTCCTCCTCTCTCCTCCTACACTCCTCCTCCTCCTCCTCCTCCTCCTCCTCCCCTCCTCCTCCTCCTCCTCCTCCTCCTCCTCCTCCTCCTCCTCCTCCTCCTCCTCCTCTCTCCTCCTCCTCCTCTCTCCTCCTCCTCCTCCCTCCTCCTCCTCCTCTCCTCCTCCTCCTCCTCCTCCTCCTCCTCCTCCTCCTCCTCCTCCTCCTCCTCCTCCTCCCTCCTCCCTCCGCCTCCTCCTCCTCCTCCTCCTCCTCCTCCTCCTCCCCTCCTCCTCCTCTCCTCCTCCCCCCCCCCCCCCCCTCCTCCCCCTCCTCCTCGTCTTCTTCCGTAGCCATTTTGGCTCAAGTATCCATTTCGTTCAAGCGTTGTGTCGCAGGCACCCCTGGGTCGTCGCCGCCTCGCCGATGCTGGGTACGCAGCCGAGTGCAGAGCTCCGCGGCGCCGTCGAGGCCCTGCGCGGAGCTCTCCTCGCGGCCCACGCCGCCTTTGGCCTCGCGGCTGGGCGGTCCCCGTCGGGGACCTGCTTGCTGCGCGCGGCGGAGTGGCTGCTCCGCGCCGCCGGCCCACGCCGAAGGAGGCGGACGCGCTGGCAGCCCCCATCCTTGCAACCATCCCCTGTGCGGGCCGCCCTCGGCGGCGGCGGCGCGGGCGCGGCGGGGCGGCGGGCGCGGCGGCCGAGGTGGCCCCTCTGGATGGCGGCGAGGAGGTCGTAGACACAGGGATGGCGGCGGATGACAGGGAGGGCCCAGGCCCAGGCGGCGGCGTCGTCGCCGCGCGCGGCCTGCCCCCGCTCCTGCCCAACCCGATGCTGCTGCGACGGCGCCCGCTGTCGACAAGGTGGGGGCCGTGGAGGACCTGGACGATGAGTGGGCTGACGCCCTCCCGATCCGCCGTGGCCGCGGCGTGGAGGAGGCTGTGGCGCCTGGTCGTCCTGGTGGCGCCGTTGGCGCAGGCGGCGGGCATGCAGAGGGCGAGACGGAGCACGTGACGGAGCCGTGGTGGGTGCGCTTCGGGCGGCAGCGGGCGGCGCTGTCGACGCGGCTCGGCCTCTCGCCCTTTTCGGGGCTCGAGCCCCTCCTGGACGCGGTGGAGGCGCAGCGTGCCGCGCTCTCCCCCGAGGACCTCGAGGTGGCCCAGGTGGCCCGCATGGCCCTCGAGGCGTCCCGCGGCCTGCAGGCCGCTTGATCGACGTGTTCCTGGCCGTCGGTCCTTCGTGTTCCCGCGCTGGCTGCCTTCCTCCTCGTCCTCCTCCTCCCCCTCCTCCTTCCCCTCTTCCCCCTCCTCCTTCTCATCCCCATCCTCCTCCTCCTCCTCCTCCTCCTCCTCCTCCTCCTCCTCCTCCTCCTCGTCCATCTCCTCCTCCTCCTCCTCGCCCTCCTTCCCCTCCTCCTCCTCGTGGAAGCGCCGCCGCGCGCCTGCCTGCGGTGCACCCCCCGCCCGCGCCCGGAGGAGCTGGGCCGGGGCCTCCTCAACCTCGGCATGCGCGGCTACGCGGACATGGCGCCACACATGGACGCCCGCCGCGCGTTCCCCCGTCCGTGCGCGCGTGTCCCCCCGACGGTGCGCGCCTCTCGCGCCTCGCGCCTCGCTCTTCGCCCCCCCCGCCCCTCCCCCCCTCTGCCTGTCCTCAGGCGGGGCGTGCCCCTCTACAGAGAGAAGATTCCAGAATAGGTGGGAATTCGTCAGGTGACGATTGTCCGTGCTCTTTCGACATTGTTTTGTGCAGATTTCCTGAACATGTTTCACTCTTCATCAATCATCCGCCTGTAGGAGCACACGCCCTACCTGATGCTTGTCCCCCCCTTGCCCTAGTCTGGCTGGCGCCCTTGGTCGTGCTTTTGCTGGCCGGCCCTGGGCGTTTTTGTTTTTTCCTCGTGCGTGTGCCTTGCCTTGCCGCCGCCGCGCGCGGCCCCGTTTTTTTTTGGGGGGGGGGACTGGTAGGCGCGGCGTCGCCTCGGCTTGACGGCCATATGTGCCCGCGCGCGCGTGTGGGCCAGCGGCCAGCCTCGCGTGCTGGAGATGGCCCCAGCAAGGTACCCTGAGAGCAGTCAAGATGAAGAGGCTGTGCCAAGGTGAAGAGAGCCACCCGCAACAATTCTAGGGACCCTACGGCGACGACGGCGACCAGGCGGCGCAGGCGCAGTGGTGAAATGGACGGTGGGCGTCGGGAGGTCGTCATTTGTGGTCGTCGGGATGTGCAGTCGGGGTCGTCGGGGGTGGGCGGCGTAGACTGGCCGACCGAGCCCAGCACGCTACAGCTTGGCGTGGAGGTCGGCTATCGGGGACCAGAGTGACAGCACGTCCATGTGCACGTGGGTGCGTTCGTCAAGGGATCGCGGCCGTCCGGGCCAAAGATGAGTCAGGGATTGGTCGGGAAAGGAAACAACACACACAGACACAAGCAATCTTCGACCGCCAGGAAAATATGGGCACATCTGGGAAGTGGGGAGAAGACGAAAAACCCAAGTAATATTTAGAAATCGATGGAGTCTTGAAATCCGTGTTTATTTATTTGTGTGTCGTTGGGCTCCTGTACTGGAGGCGAGAACGCCATGCCTTAAGTCTCGGTCGACATGGCTGCCGGACCTGTTTATCTAGCCGTGTTGTCTTGGACTCCCCGTCCTCTATGCGGGATTCTTTGTTGGTCGTGATATTATATCCATTGAATTTTGTTTCGCGAAAAGCTATTGGGATCTCAGTAGTTGGCACCAACACCAGTATTGGCGTTTGCTTCCACCGGGGGACACTGGTCACAATCTCGGCGATGATTGTAGCATTCGGGCAACCTGGGTGGCCAGTATCGTACCACCGCCACCAACATTCAGGATCATCCTCCCCTGGTAAAAAAAAGGCAAACCGCTGTGTTGGCGTTCGTGTCAAACGTTGGGCGCTACTATGCTTCGAGCGATCTCCACCCGAGAACATGAGGAGGAAGGTGTACATACCCAGAGAGCTACGGGCCCATTGGGACCTGGCAAACTGTCGGGTGGGGAAAACATCGCGGCTGAGATTTTTGGCCGTCGCCGGCCCCTGGGAGCCCATGCCGGGGTCTGACGCAATCAAGGAATGGCTCGGGGAAAATGGCGGTTGTTGGGGAAAATGTCGATGTCTACGTCGGAGTGCTCGCAGTAGTTAATAGGCAGCGATTGACAATACACACAGAAACATCCATTTCCAGAGATCCGCGCGGATCGTTTGGATCGGCGTTTTGCGCGCTAGGGTGGGTCCAGCGCCGATCCAAGACATCCGCGCGGACCTCTATGTTTGCGTTGGTTTTTCGCGCCTCTACAACCATCTGTGGCCCTCACCTCACGCCGCCGAGAGTCAGGAGCGAAGAAATAGCACACAGACACAATTAATCGTCGATTCCCCAGAAAATAGAGGAAATAGGTGCGGGCCCAGTGGGGTCCCCCGACCACCGAGCGCGATGCGACAGCATCGGCTTGTGCGCTTGTGTTTGGCCCCCCCGCGGCACCCAAAAAGACGCGCACCAAAGATCACTCTTACCCAGGGTCACTCCATGCGTGTAGCCGACAGGAGCCCTCCGGGCCCGTCCGGGCGGAGTGGGGCCGTCGAGCTGCACCAGGAGGGCGGGGGGCCACGAGGAGCACGCAGGGCTCGCTCCGATCCCTCCGAAGCGATTCGGTTAGAGGTCGGTGGATTCCGATTTCCGATTCGAGCCGGCTCTGAGTTCTGGTTTGGCTCCCGCTTTCTCAGCGGGGCATCATTGCGCCGCCGATTTTTCCGCCGATTCGACGCCTCCCGACGTGGCTGCCGAGTTCCGCCGATCCGATCCATGTCGCTCGCCGACTCGACTCCTCGAGTCGACTCTGGGCTCTCCTGGGCGCGGGGGAGGCGGGGCTACGGGCGCGGGAGCCTGTACGCTTCCACAGCGGCGCGGCCCTCCTGCCGCCCTGGACGGCCTCCAGGCCAGCACGGGGGGGCCCCGAGCCACCCGAGGTGGGCCCCGTGGGCCCATGGGCGGCCCCGGAGTCTCGCCGCAGGCCCAGCCCCGGGAAGAGAGAGATGCCTCTGTCTGCACTTCGCCGCGGCTCAGGAGCGGGGCCTGCCGCTGACCCACAAGCAGGCGCCGCTCTACGACCAGGCACGCTCGGCGGGCTGCGGGTGGGGCCTGCCATTCCTCATGTCCAGTATTGCGAGGGCCTCACGGCCAGTGCCGCCGACCCTGAAGCGGGGCGACGACGACGACGACGACGGCGGCGACGGCGGCGACGACGACGACGACGACGGCGACGTCAACGATTGCGAAAAGGCGAGGACACAAAAAACATGAACAACCTGGTGAACATTTGTTTCACCTCTTACAGCCCACTTGGGGGTCCTCTTGGAGCTCTCTTGGGGCGTCTTGGTGGTCTCCGAGGCTGCCTTGAGGGTGTAACAGGCCGTCTTGGAACGATGTCGGTCTGTTTCAGGGCCCTCTCGGGGCAAGCCGCGGCAAAGATGAGCTCGAGGCGCGTGGGATGCAAGAAATTGAAAGGGAAATCGTTACCAAGAGAGGGGTGTCCCTTCCCAGGTGGGAGGGGGGGTGACAATCCCCCCGACCCCCGACCCCTCCCAAGACCCCACTGGACCCATTCCACCCCCGATGCAGGAAGGGAACGATCAAAGGGAAATGTCTTTCGACTCGGTTACGACGCTGCTCGATCTTCCTCTGGCTGGAAAGCTCAAGGAGGAGGGCCCAGGGTAAGGGGGGAGCGACGACGGCGACGACGACGACGGATACTCAAACAGAAAAGCGTCAAGGGGAGGGTGCGGCGACGACGACGACGACTCAAACGGGAAAGCTTCTCACACACGCCGACCCACACGCCGACAGGATTGGCGGATTTGTGTTGGTTCGAGCCGTAGTCTTCTTCTGGTCGCATTGTTTGGGTACCGTGGACCCGAAGGTGACACATCGAATCGCCAGCACATTCAGAGAGGGTTCGAAGTTCGTCTCTATGATTCACAATGGGGCTCTTCAGACAGGCGTGGGCATGATGCCCACATCTTTGTTTCTGATAATTCCGTCGCGTTCGCAACTGTGGTTCAGAATGTATTCTCGATGTTGAAGGTGGTGGTGGTGGTGACGGCAGCCACGATGGTGCGGACGACCACGACGAGCATTTGAATTCAAGCTGCCGAAGGGGATCTGCTAGAGTCTCCCAGTCGTTTCGCGCTTAAAAATGATCAAGAAAATCCCGCCGCTGGCGTCGAATAGTACCTAAGCACACAGGAGGAAGTGCGCAACGGGCGCCAATTTCTCACACTGTACATGAGACCGACGTGGAGATTTGTTAGATGACGCAAATGGCACCGGCACGGCCGCGCCACTGTTCTGACCAGTCCTAGGTCGGAGGTGGTTGGTGCTCCCCTCGAATGGCGCTCTCTCTCGTGCGAAGAGGTCCGGCCACAGGCCTACCCTGGGCTCTCCAATGACTCCCAGTCGCACCTGAGACAGTGCTGTGGGGCTCTGGGGGTTCTACTGGGCTGGTCTTTGCCGGTCTTAGGGTCGTCTTTGAGCGTCTTTTTGTTGTCTCGGTGCAATTCCATAGCCATTTTGGCTCAAGCCGTGGTCCGCTTGCGTGGCGGCTGCGGAAGACGCAGAGGGCGCCCGTGGCCTGTCTCCGGGGGCGCCTCGTCACGGGCGGGACTGGCCCCGATGTCCGCTTGTGCCCGGGGGCGCCGCGCCGCAGGCTGGTACGGCGCCTGGCTCCTGGCGCACGTAGGAGCCGCAGGCGCACCGGCTGGACACCTCGAGCCGTTCGGCAGCTGGGCCCCTGGCAAGCCCATCAAGGAGTGGACGAGCCTGCCGAGTCCCCTGGAGTTCTTCGAACACTGCCAGCTGGATGGGGGTGCCAGCGAGCCAGTGCTGATGCGCGGTGCGGCTAAGGGAATGCCCGCCATGGACTGGACGAGCGACGAGTACCTCCTGGAGAAGTTCGGTGGTTCCAAGATCTCCGGCGTGGAATATGATCTGAAAGAGACCCGGGTTGGAGGCCAAGTGCCTGGCATGCGCGTCTTGAGGGATTTCTTGTCGAAGTATAACACGACGGACATATACATGGTGTCGCAGATTCCGAAGGAGATGCGGCAAGATGTGAAGTTTTTGCCGTTTCTACGTTGCGGCGGGTACTTGGATTTTCTCGATGTCGCGAACTTGTGGATCGGACGAGGCGGCAGTAAGTCCGTGGTGCACTACGACGACCAGGACAACATCAATTGCATGTTCTCCGGAAGGAAGAGATTCATTTTCATGCACCCGAAGTACAAGCGGGAGTTCGAGGCGCACCCAAACACGGCGAAGAATCGCTTTGGTTGGGTCGATGCTGATCTCGACAAGAACGTGAAAGGTTACGGTGCTTTCTTTGGCAATCTTGATGTTGATCGAGTAGACTTGATTAACCTCCCTGGGTGGAGCGAAGTGGAGTATTCTTATGCGGAGCTCGAGCCCGGGGATTGCCTGTATATTCCCTATCAGTGGTATCACCAGGTGTCTGCCCAGCCAACCAGATCCATCAACATACATATGTGGTACTGGCGTCCGAAAGTCTTCAGGAAGAAGAGCTGCGACAAGACAGAGGACGCGGGCGCCAGCGTGTCCTTCGGGGAGTGCACGTGGGGCTACGAACCGCCGAAGGGGCACCTCGGCGTCAAGGCACCCAAGATGACGAAGTGCAAGAGGCGCACGGCGAGGCGGAAGGCGGCGGACGCGGAGCTGTGAGCGGGGCGCCCGTGGGGCCGTCTCGGCGCCCACGGCGGACATCGCCACCGCCGCCGTCCCCCCCCAAAAAAAAGTTGTCTCGGTGCAATGTCAGGGTGGGACATGGCGTAGTCCCGTGGTCAGTGGGGGTCTGACGAATGCGAGCCCATCATGGGAGCACGAACCGTGCGAGGGGTGCGACATGTATAATCCCATGGTCGCTGGGATTTCTAGCTGACGTTCTTCGACGAGGCACATCGCGCATGAGGGGAACGCCATGTTTGGCTGGACAATCGAGTGCGGTGGCCCGTGGGACCCTGGCTCGACCCCTGTGTGCGGCGGCGGGTGCTCTGTCACGGCAGCACGTCTAGGCAGGAAAATCCACCCGGACCCGATCACTGGCGATTACTAAACGGCCCTGGGCGTTTACTAAACAGCCCTGCCCTGTTCGATTCCTTCCTTGGGTGCGTTGTTTACTACACGGCTTCGCGTATCGGGGTGATTATTATGAGGTTGGATTTGTTCCTTCATAACCTGGGGCATCCAACCGGCGTCAGCTATGGGTCTGGTCCGGCAAGAAGCGTGTGAGGGTGCATCTGGATCTGCGGGCGCAGCACAGTCCCGCGGCGCTTGGGGCCCAAAGGGGCGCCCCTCGCGAGGCAAGACGCGTACGATTGGCTCGGCGGTGCTGGCCTGACGCAGCACACTCCTGTGACCAGCGTGGGCCCTGATTGCAGCGCGTCTTCAGGGCTGGACATGGCCGCCGGCAGGGGCGGGACACTAAACTGTCCTGTGGTTACTGGGGCTTTGCATTGGGCCCCCATGGCCCTGTGGGTCGCGAACACGAGACTCATGAGAGGTGCGTCAGAATTGCTGTGACACCATGTACGTCCATGCCCTTACTCCCCTGTGGAGCACGCAATTTGTGAGGGGTGCGCTGATGTGGACGGTGCGTGCCTGATTCGGTGACCATTTGGATGTCTAGCTGGGGTCTCTGTGACGCGAATCGGGTGAGGAGTGCGCTGTAGCGGGCGGGGCATCATACAGTTCCGTCAATTGTTGGGTCTCTGTTTGCGTAGGGCTTCCCATTGAGCTCGACAGGTGCGACGGGTGTGTCAAAGTTGGCGGGGCAGCACTGCCAGTTGCTGGTCCCTCTTCCGGGCGGGCACGGATTGTGCGAGGGATTCGTCAGAATCGGCGAGACGCTGCGCATCATCGCAGCCACTGGGGCTTCCGGTGGTTTTCGTGGAGCACGAGAAGCGTTGACTGTGTGCCGACGCGGGCGGGACACGGGCCTGTCATGTGGCCCCGACGACGCGCGAGCCGCGCGAGGGGAACGCTGGAACGGTCCGTGCTCGCTGCCCCTCTGTTGTGTTCTTCTCCCTCGGCGAGCGGCGTCCCCCTTCCATACTTCAAACCTCTGCTGCTGCTGCTGATGCTGCTGCTGCTGCTGCCCACTCTGGCCACAAGGGGGGCAAGGCATGGATAACACTCTTGCTCCCGCATCGCCTCCTCCTGGGACTCTGGAGTGGGCGGGCGTATGGATGAAGCGTCGATCAACGTTGATGACGACGACCACGTTGGTGTGATGATTCTTGCGATTGCGATGAGAAGGTTCGGAGCAAGGAGGGAGGGAAGGTGAACGCCCGAGCGTGTGCATCCAGCGCGCACTGTATAACACGCGGTTCTCCTGACACCTGAGCCCGTGGGGGGCAACATGCAGTTTGCAGGGAGCGGGCAGGGGCTCATGGGCTACCCTCCGTTGGCTGCCAGGGGTCCTCCGTTGGCTACCCTCGAGTTCTTCTGGCAGCCCTGGGGCCCCTGGGAGCGAAGGGGGGGGAGGGCACGCTCCGCGGAGGTCTCGTGGACGTCTTGCGCCCTGGGCTCTGTCCGAGCGCTGGGGAGATCCCACCAGCGACGGGGCAGAAGGTCTGCGCGCTGCTCCCGCCTCGTCTTCCCTCTCCCGCGTCCTCCTCCGCTGCCGGGCCTCGAGTCGGGCCAGCCCCTCGCCCGACCGGCGCCTGCAGCAGCTTCGGCCCGCTCGGCCCCGCTGGCCCCCAACAAAAGAAAGCGTGCGCGCTCGGGGGCGAGCGCACGCGCGCGCACGGACCTCAGCACCTAGCCGCGCGTGCCGGCACGGCTCCCTGCCTGCATGGGCCTCAGCTGCTGCTCCGCGGGGGGGCTGTGCGCCAGAGGAGAGAGCAGCGGGCCCAGGCGACGCCCAGTGTCGACTTGCGCGATGGGGGCGTCTCATCTCTTGATTCTTCCCGCCCAGTGGGGCACCACCCAGAGCGAAGCTGGACGCGCTGAGGCAATCGATACCGATGCTCTCCGCCAGGGCATTGCACCACGACGTCACTTCTTGATTTTTTGCAAGGGGCACTCATATCCCCGCTATCTGAAGGGTCCACTGCCGAACAGACGACACCCCACTCATTCGCACCCCCCAAAGTAGGTTGATGGGGCCGAGTGGTCTGGCAATAGTCCTTGGTTGCGTGGATGAAGAGGAGGTCCGTGGTGCGGAATGTCTTTGTTGTTGTGCACCGGCTTACGCCACACCGCCGACCCTATTCGGGCCTCGGGATGCCGAGAGCACACTTGATCATCGGTCGTCGATTAACGTGCTGATATTCGTATCCTCTTCCTTCGTCTTTCTTATCGTTATCCTTCTCCTCTTCTCCCCTCCCTCCTTCCGGGCTCCCTCCCCCTCCGCCCTTCGATTCCCCCCGTCAATGTGTTGTTCTGTTTCGTTTGCCCATTGACTGTGGCGTTCATCGTGTGCTCGTGTTGTCCGATCGACCTTCGATCGTCAATCGTCGATCCCTCGGCAAACCCGCCCAGACGAATGAATGGCATTCAGGGCCCCGAGAGCGTGAAGAACTGTTCTTTTCCGCCTGCCATGGCTTATCGCCTCGCGTCCAGCCCACTCTCCTGGAGGCAGCTTGAAGCCGCTTGGAGGCTAGTTGGGAGCATCCAGGGATCCAGGGGGCTCATTTCGGTTTCTTAGGGGCCACTCAGGGCCCTCTCGGGGCTCTCCTGGGCAATCTTGGTTCTCTTGGGCCCCTCTTGGGGCCATCTTGGTTCTCTTGGGCCCCTCTTGGGACGCGCTGGGGCCATCTGAGTTTGTCTGTTGCCCCTCTTGGTGTTCTCTTTGGCGCCTCTTGGGCAGTCCCAGGGCCGTCTGGAGCGTTCTTGGGTGTTCTTATGACTGTGACGACCCACCCCGCTGATTCCCCCGCGACCCACACCTGGCCCACTCCCGCCAACCACCCGCCCCGCATCCACATCCGCGACTCACATCTGCGACCCACCCGAATTCCTTCTTGCCCACGAGAAAATCTCTGCCTACGGCGGTGCCGTTGTGTAACTAAAACCGTCGGCGGGCTGCTTCACGTGGTTTTTTTTCGAAGCCTCCTGCCCACCCGCTGTGCTTTGTTTGTAAACTAGCCTGCGCCTGTAGCGGGCTTCTTTGCAGTAGCTCCCGGGCCCCGCAACCCTTGCAAGACCGCCCAGGCGTCCCCGTTTTCTCACCTGCTTTCTTTTTGATGATGTGGTGATCGTGCAGAAGTGGCACGTCGATCCATCTTTGATTCATCGCAAGGCAGTCGTTTTGCACGCCGTGGTATCCCTCCAGGAACCTTTTGGGTGCGCACCCAGCTCGTGGAAGAGCGCCATGTTGCTGCCTCCGCGCGCCATCTGTAGGCGCAGAAGCGCGAGCGCCGCGAGATCTCCACGCAGGAGGCTGGATGGGGAGGAGGCCGTTGGACGGGCATGGGGCATGGCTCGAGGCCCCCCAGATGGGGTCGAAGGAGATGGGGACGGCGGATCGCGCCGCATCGCCGATGCGGCTTGATGTGGAAACCGATCTTCCCCACGCCATTGGCTCCGATGCATCGCTGACGTCGCCGATGAATCTGCGATGCGTCGGCGATGCGGCGCGATTCTACGACCCCTTCCACTCTGACCAGATTTGGTAGGCCCCCAATGGTGGGATGAGAGTACATATTCCGAGTGGAAGTATGCATCTGCATAGTTCCATTCAGCTAAGGCTTCATCATCTTAATCATCCTCATAATCACAATTTGGAGTCCGCGTGTTCCTTGACAACCAGATTGACCACATTCGTCTACGTCAGATTGGAGGTCGATTACAGTTGCCGGCCCGAAATGCCTTCGCAAGGACGATCTCAGAAGTATTGTTTTGGTCGGCCCGCACGCTTTGCCCCCAGCCGTCACCTTGAACCCCCAGCGCACACGCCTACGCATCATCGTAGCATGTCTAGGTATGCCTCTGTGGATGCCACTGCTGATGCCTAGGCATCCGCATGGGTGTGCCTACGGATGGATCGAGGGATGTGTCCAATGGCGTAGCTGGGCGTAGCAGATGCCCAGGCATCGACCTTGTGAGGCCTGGGCGTCGAGCTGGCAATGCCTAGGCATCGGCAGGGCGGTGCGCAGGGTTGGCATCGATAGTTCAAGGGACCAGAGCCAGTGGGCCGTGCCGGATTGTTGCATGGATGGTGAGTATCACAGCCTCACGCTCTGCTGTGATGGCCACAATGCGCCTACAGTCCGCTTCCGTCTCGGAGCCAGAGTGCCACATAATGCGGATGGTCTGTATAGTTGTTGACCATGTGCACCTGGTCGTGCGCAGGCGAGAACCAAACCTGTGCGAATGAGTGAGGAACAGGTCCGAGACGTGTGACCTTGTGGGTCAAGGCAGAGGAGAGGTCCAGGCCAAAGGGAGGCTCGTGTACGCGGTTCGGGTTTGCGCGTCATCATCATCATCATCATCATCATCATCATCATCATCAGCAGCAGCAGCAGCAGCAGCAGCAGCATCACCATCATCACCAACATCATCACCATCAGCATCACAATTACCATCACCATCATCATCATCATCATCATCATCAGCATCATCATCATCACTATCACCATCATCACCATCATCAACCTCATCATCATCACCATCATCATCATCATCATCATCATCATCATCATCATCATCATCGGCATCACCATCATCATCAGCAGCAGCATCAGCATCATCATTGCCATGATCTTCGAAATCAAATGCTCCACCATCACTTGATGTATTGCACGT